GACCAGAACTTTCAAGGAAGACCATATTGGAATTTAAGTGACATGGCTTCATTTAGAATGTTTTGGTGTTTTATCTACACTCTAGCATTTTGTTGTGGTGTTTCTACACAAAAAGGTGATGGATAATGCCATGTTTAGAAAAGAATTATGGCATATGAAATTCAACCCCTTGGTCTAAATGAATGATTTTAACACTTTTATCATATCGTGTTTGCACCATGAATCCATGATGCATGATTCAGAAATCTTGTAATTGTTTTCTAGCTTCACTCTTGTGTTTCATAAGGTAAGCCCGTACACATCGATATTTATCATTCCTATATTTGACACATTTTCCCCTTCTATCAATGCATCTTTAGTACTTTCTCTTATATTTCATATCCAAATAATAACTATTTGATTAATGAACATTTGATAGACCTAGGTTGTATTTTGGTATTCTTTTATGCCTTCTTGGTATTTTTGTGCTTTTTAAGATAAAATACAACAAAAAATGATTTGGATCAAGCATTGGATGACTATGGAGAACTAAAGAAGTTAAAAAGAGAAGGATATGGATTTTTCATGTAAAAGACAAGGTTCAAAACTGAGAAACCTACTAGTAACAATGTGTAGCACCCAATGGAGAAATAATTGGCCCATACTAGAGCAAGAACCTAGAATCGGCCCAAACAAAAGACAAAGATGCATGATGAGGCTTGGACATGCTATGGGCTTCCCTTGAGGAGATTGAGCTTCAACCATTCTTTTTCTTTTGCAATTTTAGTACACTTCGCATTTCTTTCTTCAATCCCCAAGTCAAATTTTTGCTAAATTCATTTTCAACAATGAAAAAAATGGCAAAAGAATTGGTAAAACAAATTCAAATACAATTCACTTTATTTCGATTATAAAAAAATTAGTTAATAAACCATTCTTTTTGGTTTGTGTGGTATCTTCCTTGTTAATAAACCAACGTTGTAAATCCTCTTTCACCTTTGTTAATCAATGGAACTATCCATAAAAAAAAATCAATGGAACTCAAGTCTTATTTAAAAATGTTGTGTGAGAGTGATCTGATGCTTTTTCATAATTGAGATCAAATCTTTTACTTTAATTGGTTAATATATATTGGGATTGCGTGTTATTCTATGGAACTAATCAACATCACATCGATAGTGAACAAGAAGGAATGAACAACTCCATTGTATGACTTTAAATGTAGTTTCTCCTTACGCCCACATTTATTTAAGACAAGAGCATATCAGACGCGTTTCAGTCATACCCATACAAATGAGAAGACAACCGAGGAGATAACTGAACATCAAGCGGAAAAGCCCTAGGATTGGTCAGCCCAATACTCTCCGTCATATCAACCGGTTCGCTTGTCGCCCTCGAGAAATCAAACCCATGCAAAAGCGTAGCAACCGTCAAGTACATAACCTGTAAGGCAAAGTTCATACCAGGGCACATCCTCCTCCCGCTCCCAAAGGGTATCAGCTCGAAATCCTGGCCCTTGAGGTCGACGTCCTTGTGAGTCGTGAGGAACCGGTCCGGTCGAAACTCGTCTGGGTCCGACCAGACCCTCGGGTCTCGCTGGAGCTTCGATATGTTGACGATGAGCCGGGTGCCTTTGGGAACGAAACGGCCGGCGACGGTGCAGTCTTCCATTGACTGATGTGGCACGGAGAGCGGTCCGGCGGGGTATAAACGGAGGGTTTCTTTGACGATGGCTTTGAGGTAGTCCAAGTTGGGGAGATCGGACTCTTGAACCCGCCGGTCTTTGCCGACGTGGTTGTCTAGTTCGGTTTGGGCTTTCTTCAAGACGTCGGGATGGTTGACGAGTAAGGCGATGAGCCAGGTCATTGTCACTGTGGTTGTGTCTGAAGCTGCTAAGGTGAGGGCCTGTGTGGAGGTCATAATCAACGAGGCGTACAAGAAATATATTTTTAGTATGTCACTATAATATTACATGATAGACCAATCTGACTCATCTGACATCTGACATATATTTATTTATTAGTTACTGTCATTTGATTGGAAAAATCAAATATGGCACATGTTTTTGCACTGGTGAAGATAACTTTTGAACAACTATGGTTGTCTTTGTTTTGCTCCTACGTCATTCTTGACTAAGCATATACATAAATTTGACTATGGCACCATGCCGATTTCCTAATCTTTTAGCCTCATCGTAAACATTTCATTATAAAACTGAGAGTTGATTGAATGATTCAGAGCAAGATTTTTATTTTTCCAAAAATTCAAAGCAAGAATTATAAAACTAAGAGTTCACGATATTGCACTGTCATAATACTAGTTAAATATTTTATTTTTAATTTATTCTAATAATGATATTGTCCGGTATTTTACTGAATCTACCACGATGATACTACTAAAATAACATATCAGTGTTCAATGCATTACCAACCAAGATAAAAAAAGGGGGTGAATTTGAATTACCAGGCAAGTAGCTTTATTGACCGTATCGGAATCTCGACCGTCGATTCCCCCTTCGTCACCGACCACGTTCAAAATCACATCCATAAAATCCTCATCCGCCGCCTTCCCACCGCCGGAATCCCTTTTCGCCTTGTGCTCTCTAAGCCACTCCTCCACCACAACCTCCATCTCCGCCGCCGTCTTCCTCATCTTCTTCTCGAACCCTCCGACGTCCAGCCACCGCAGAAACGGCAGCCCGTCGGCCACCACGAACCTCCCCGACAGCTCGAAGAAATCCTTCAGTATCCTCATCAACCTGACGCCGTCCTCTCCTCCCGTCAAGTACCCGACGGATTTCCCCACGACCATCTTCAGGATAACGTTCAACGTTATCTCCCCAAACCAGCTGGTCATCTCCACCGAAACGCTGCCGTTTTTCGCCGCGTGCTTGGCCCAGTAAGTGTACAGCTCTTTGGTCCCGAGTTCGACCTCGGATTCCCTCGCCCGTTTGAGCAAATCGAGGCGGTGCGAGGAGAGCAGCTCCAGCGTGGCCATCTTCCGGATTTGGCGCCAGTAGGGCCCGTACGGGCTGAACCCGAACATGGACCGGTTGTAGCCCAGGATGTGCGTGGCCAGGGTCGCGGGCCGGTCGGCGAAGACCCGGTCGTGGGTGGTCAAACACTCCTTGGCGGTCTCCCAGTTGTTGACGACCAGGGCCGGGTGGATCCCCATCCGGATCGTGAAGATTGGGCCGTGCTTTTCGGCCATCTGGCCCAATACTATGTGTGGCGGGCGCGGCCCGCCGAGGAGGTGGAGGTGGCCCATCACGGGCCACGCGCCGTGGGCTTCCTCCGGAGGTGGTGCTTGTACATGGTTCTTTTGCGACTTGCCGGCCGACGAGATTGTTCGGAGGAGGAAGTAGAGGAAGGCGAGGGAGGCTAAGGCAACGGCGGAGAGAGAAATGGCGGTGGAGTGTGGACTGGCGAAGAAATCCATATCTGTTTACGGCTACAATTTCCCAAGTGAGGGAGCGGCTTTCTTTGGGTTTATATATGTGAAGAAATGAAGGAAATGTGATTAAACTAATGGTCGAATTACAAAAAGAAATATATATATATTTTTGGAATATTTTAAGGCACGTTCTTCTTCCTCTGACGAAAGCGTTATCGCCTTGATATTCTGACCCCCGGGCCCCAACCCACGTCGTCGATCTGTCAACCCTCGCCTGCGTAAGCAAATACGATTTTCGGATGTACAAACTTGTTGACCAGAAAAAAAGGTGATCAATTGCGTATTTGTGTTTGTAAACAAATCGTTCGTGGTCAAAGCGCATTTCTAAAGTTGAAAGTTGAAACCCAACACAATACAGCGATTTAGTGGTTTTTTGTTTGACTAGACAGCTCATTCTTCTAATATAATGTTGAATCGAAAACGTTTGTGGCTTATGATTCAACGATGAATTGTTATAGAATCGTTGTTTAATTGTGGATGTAACAATTCATATGTATTATAACATAATATATATATATATATGGTGGCTACTTCGGCGCACTAACTTTTTTGGGTGCACTCAGTGCACCCAACTCTAAAAGTGTCCATAGTACATCAAATTTTGAATTTAAATTAGTACTCTCAATCTAATATGATGATATGAGATAGAATCATAACAAATCAATCTATTACCCTAACTTCTTAACCTTCAATTTTGAATCCCAACCCAAAATTCCAAATTGTAAACCCAAAACCCTAACCCTAAATCCCCAAATCCTAAATCTTTCAAATTAAAGTAAATTTTGAATGATTTTTTTTCAAATTCATGTGCTTCTTGTTCATAATATCATGAGCAACAATTGATACCGTTTTGACAAGAATCGTATGCTCGGAATGACAATTATGAGGCGGGTGCACTGAGTGCACTCAAAAAAGTGGGTGCACTGAATACGCCACCATATATATATATATATATATATATATATATATATATATATGGGTCAGACTCGTATGCTCCTGACGCATAGCATGTGACAGGTTTTCTAAACCGTTGATCTACTCTAACGATCATTATTAATTGCAATAAAATTAATCATTAATTAACAATGATAACTACGAACTTCACCCATTAAAATTACATACACGCATTATAGTACCCCGACAATTTTTATCATTGTGTTTGATATTAAAGTACCTTATTTCTTTTAAACATAGTTTAATCACCCAAAATTTTTATTGTTGATTATGATATCTCCATCTAAGTTCGTCTCACTGCTCCTCAATTAAAATAAATTATAAACGAAAGTAAGGCTCATCTCAAGCAAGAGTCTCTTATGCAGAGACATCAAATTGAACCATCCTGAGTTCATTCAATCGGCTAGGAACGTTTATAGGTTCCAATCAACCAATCTGCGATGATCGCCATCGTCAAATCAAATCTCTTTATCTTTGTTTCGAGCACAATGGGCACAGTGTCAGATGGATTTGCCTTCCCAATCTGCTGGGGTTATTTGCGACCGGCAGGAAATGGCGAGCGCCCACTCCCAGCCGCCGGAGAGATGGAGCGCCCGGAGAGAGAGGGAAATCTTTCACAATATATTGTCAGTCCGCTGGTTAAATTTTGCCCGGTTTCGTCTTGGAACCAATTCCAGCCCTGGGGTTAGGTATTTGAATAGAGTCTCAGCAGGTTTGGAAGGCCCTGCAAAAACAAACTTGCTCTTGGTCCTCGAGGTTAGGAATGGACTGATCATCTTGTTGAATGCTAGGTACCACCAGGGCACATTGATGAACACCTGTCTGGCGACGAACTCAGGGTAGTTGTCCTGGAGGATGCTAATGGCTTGAATGGTAGCTTGCCGGAGCTCGCCCTTGAGAGACACGGGGAATTCTTCAGATTGTTGATCTGAACGATGGTGCAGATTTCGGTGGTGCTGAAATCGAGCTTCCGGATGCTCTTCTCGAGGAATTGGATATCGGAGGAATTACCAGTACCTTTTATTGTCAAACACATTAAACCCTACCGCCGCCACGATAGAATTCTACCCTAATTGATGGAGATCAGCTCCAACTCATCCGTGTCCTCCGGAATCCCAAACTCCAAGCCAGAGCATTCAATCAACGTGTGTTTATCGGCATCCTTGAGAATGAAGCCGCAATGGATTTAAGAGTAGTAATTGGGTTTGCTTTGATGATGACAATGAAGTTTTGATTCATTAACCATTCAAGCCAAATTTTAATGGAGAAATTTTATATCAATTTTGAAAATTTTGGGTGTTGAATAACAGAACTCTACGAGATTAGGTATCATACGAGAAAATATTATGGTAATTATTGTTAGAGGATTTCATAGCACATATAATTATTTAAGGGGTGCAAGTAGTAATTATTATTATTAATTTCATCATAATTTATAATGACCGTTAGATTAGATCAACAGTGGAAAGATCTGGAGCATAGTATGCGTCAGGAACATACGAGTCGTATCCATATATATAGGTGGCTACTTCGGTGCACTCACTTTTTTGGGTGCACTGAGTGCACCTATCTCTAAAAGTGTCCAGAATACATCAAAATTTGAACTTTAATGAGTACTCTCAATCTAATATGATGATATGTCATATAATCATAACAAATCAATCTATTACTCTAACCCTTTAACCTTCAATTTTGAATCTCAATGCAAAATCCCAAACTGTAAACCTAAACCCTAAACCCTAACCCTAAACCCCTAAATCCTAAATCCTACAAATTAAAGTAAATTTTAAATGATTTTTTTTTCAAATCACGTGCTTCTTGTTCATAATATCATAAGCAACAATTGATACCGTTTTGACATGAATCGCATGCTCGGAATGATGATTATGAGGCGGGTGCACTGAGTGCATCCAAAAAAGTGGGTGCGCCGAATACGCCACAATATATATATATATATATATATATATATATGATAAACTAAGTAGGATTGAATTTATTCATTCACCATAAAAAATTTCAAATCCATATCATCTATCATCAAATTTTCTAACAAATCATTCAAACTATCTAACGAAAGAAATCATAAAAAGATTTATTAAATTCAAGTTGGTAATTAGGGAGACAGTCTGTTGTGGATCACATGAACCTGCTAAGGAGGCTGAAAAATGAAGAAAAATAAGCAAAAATTTGATTAGTAATTCTTGTTGGATGATATTAATTTACGTTAACGTACTTTTTTGTGTGTGGTTAAAATAGCGAGACAGTCAAACCATGATGGTTAATCTAACTCCATGTCAGACCGTTTGATCCATTATTCATAGTCGTGCAAACAAATGAACCAAAACGCAATTGTAACTAATTTGATGATTTTACTGGTCAACCGCTAATTTGGTTTGGTTTCTTTTAACAATGGTTAATAACCTTCAAAACTATAGGGCCTCGGAGATTCACACTAAACTATCATACATGTTATATTAATCTAGCCTGTTGACCCATGCGTGAGCTATCCGATAACATCATAGGACCGTCAATTGTAGCTCCTACTGCTACCTCAAATTTGGACCCATGTAGAAGGATACCATGTATACAACACTACAAAAAAGTAGGGTTTTAACTCCTGCTACAAGTTGTAGCAAGGGTTTTTTCCTACCCGTGGACGAACTGTCGCCAATGCTGCCCCTACTAATGTAGAAAGGGTTTTTAGCAACTTATGGTAGAAGTCCTATTCAATGGGTGTAGCAAGGGTTTTAACCTCTGGTAAATGAGTTAGAACCTTTGGTAAATTCTTTAGTAAAACTAGCAAGTGTTAAAACACTTGCTTAATTTGCGGCTAAAACAATTGCAACTATGTTGTAACTGTCTCGGTAAACTCAAAGTTGTCGCTAAAGAGAACCCCAAACTAGTGGCTATAAGTTTGTTGCAAATAATCTAGTCACTAACTCACTATAGATAAACCCACAGCCAAGCTTGTTGCTTGCTAATTTTTCATATATATTTTCTCATGGCTAAATGTTAATTAGCATAAATATTCAAACATCCAAAGAAACATAGTCCACTATTCATAATACTCTAAGTAACAAAACAACATAATGATCTACTCATGATTTAAAAGCCAAAGAAAATGCTCCTTGAGATATCTTCAGTCTTTTACAAGCAGCACTATGGAGAGAAGGTCCATGTGCTTCATCACCTGATGCTTCCACTCGTCGAATAAACGCCTCCATTGCCGCTTCCGCCACTGCATATTCACACTAATATTACTATATGGAGGTTATCGTGTATATCCTAATTCTAATATTACTACATGGAGGTTCTTGGCCGGAAACCCATAATTCTCCTTTTCCTGTTCTCTGTGTAATCCATGGAAGGAGAGTTTGGTAAATTTATCTCTGCATTTATTTACTGCATGGGCCATACTTGGACGGGGAACTAGAACTGGCTATTTGGTCCGGACTGTTTGGCATTATTCCAAACCGGATCGTATAACTCGGAGCGGGACCGGACCGGATATCAAACAATGCAATCTCATATGCGGGCTTAGATTTGAGGTACAAAACCGTTTGGGACCGGATCGAAAACCAGATAAAGACCGATAAGAGACCACAACACCCAAAATTTAACCAACTCCTCACCTTTTGAGGCATCAGGCGACTCAAATCCCACAAGCTCAATCAAAAATCAAGATCAAATTGGGACCGGAACAGATCAAGACTGGAATGTATCCAATCCAATTTTTGGTCCTTATATCTCGAAAAGACCGGACCGAAACCGGATCAATTCAAGCCAATTTAACCGAACCGGACCGTATAGCCACTCCTACCGGGAACAAAGATGGAGAATTTTTTTATGGTTACCGGAGAATTCTTTTGGATTACTTTTATGGGACTTTCATATACTTACAAGATTGAGAGCATAGCCCAAAAAGGAAAAGCGATGGGAGGCAATGGTAGAAGGATCGGCGTGGCGGTGGATTTCTCGCCGTGCAGTATCAAGGCTCTGAGATGGGCGATCGACAACCTTGACCGCGACAACGACCACCTCATCCTTGTTGATAACCCTCTTCTCCCCTTCTTTGATTTAGATCTCAGTTCAACCTGCAATCATAAATTGAATCACAACTTCAAGGTTGAGCTCTTTTTCTCCTTCCGAGGCAATCTCTCCTACTCAATTCATAAACAAAACCAAATTGCATGTTGAAACCAACTACATGGCACATGCAATCAATTTTTAAGCTCAGGAAAGCCCGACCTACATTTGATCATAGTAGAGAATGCAAGTTCCTCCATGATCTTCTTTTTCCTCTATACTCTGCAAATGGGATCACCTTTTCAATTTACATGAGGGCATTGCTCAGACATTAGTGGCGAATCGACTCAATCGCGATTGGAGAAGGAATCGTGTTGTATCAAATATTGCTCAAATTGACAATCTTTATTCCCAAACGTCAAAGTGACTTATATACAGGACTCTTTGACCACTAAATTCGGTAACCACTAACTTCTAGACAACCAACTAAGCCTTGATTCAAGGCACTGACTTCCTCAATCCTGAAACTAAGGAAACATGACTAACTAACAGTGTTATTAAAACCGAGCCGGTCGGTCCGACCGGTAAAATCAGCACCAGGCCACCAACTCGGCTCGTCACAGTTAAAAAGCCGTAACGGTCAGAATGGACGGTTGGTAAGCAGCCGAAGCCGTTAATCGTTCAAGCTGCTCGACCCGGCTGACTGGTTTTCAACTCCTAGCCGCCCTCTGTGAAGAAGAAAACATTTTTTGAATTTTTTTCCCGCTAACGGTGGAACCCAGTCGACGGGAATGGAGAATAGGACTCTGAGAGTGATAGAAGCGTGTCTGAAAGTTCACAGCTTGGACGGAGAGACTCCACTTTGATGTTATCCACTCCCGGCGCCATCTCTGTCCAAACATGAACGGAAGAAGAAAAGAAAGAAGAAGTAGGAAGAAGAAGGAAGAAAGAAAAGGAAGAAAAGAAGGGGCGGCCGTCATGTTTGCAGAAGATGATGGATTATGATAGGGTTTCTAAATTATTATATATATTATATATACATGTAAAATTATTAAATGGTACCTGTAAAGTAAATTTTATTTTAGTCACCGAATATTTAATTACTATCTTATGTGTATTCTATTTTTGATATTATTGTTTATAAAGTATCGGTTCTCTAATGGTTTTTTACGGTCTAATACCGTTTGGACCAATAAAATGCGAGCCGTTCAAATTATCGGATCATGCTCCGATTCGGTTATGATAACATTGCTAACTAACCTCGACTGGACTCAACTGTGACAAAATAAGACTCAAGGATTGAAACATAATAAACCAAAACGACACACTCCATCTTCTTTATTCAAACTCTGCTTGGCGCCAACCTTCTTTCCAAACCTGGTTTGATCTTCAGCACCAACAAATCGTCCATTCCACGAGAATATATTCACTCAACATGAACCGATCGCAAACTTGACATTTGCCTAGAGGGAGGAATATGAGTCAGCCTATTGTTCAGATATGGATGCAGATTCATATTTTTCTTTGTAGAAACAGGGGAGAGAAGGGAGGATGGATATTTTAGATCTATGTTTCTGTGGGTGCGGTCGAGGAGTCGGTGAGAGCAGCGACAACGATAGGGTTGACTTGGCACATCGATGGCATGGTTGTGGGTTGTATTCGATCCCAACTTTCTGGGCAAGATGAAGAGAGTTGGTTCCGATGTAGGGGCGAAGCTCTTGACGAAGGTGAAGACGGGTTCCGACTTGGTGTGGTGACGGAAGGGAAGGAGAAGTTGCAGTGGGATACCGGTGGTGGGTTTGCTTCCGGTGCTCTCTGATTTGGTTAGTTCCCGATTTGGGAATGTAATCAGAGAATTTTAGAGAATTTGGAACGAGAGGAAGACGAAAGAAATGACGAAGGAATGAATTGGACGGATGAGTTAGGGATTTTGACTTGATAGTCAACCACCCAGGTCAAACCGGTTGTG